ACAGTATAAAAACATATAAATAAACGTAAAAATCATTAGAGAAATACATAAAATAGTTAAAAAAAGTGAATTGGTCTCAAAAAAAGGGTCGGGAATGAGACATCAATTTTCTTGTATCTCCTATAGTTAACGACTTACCCTGTACAAACCAAGAATGGCTCCAAGACGAATTTTCAAGGAAGGGGGACCTTGTACAGTTAAATTGTAAATATATTTTATTAAATAATTTAGAAATCAACTTACCCTTTTCTCGCAGGTAGTACAAAACATGTGTTTAAGAATCAATTGTTTTTAAATTAGTGTTACCCACAATTGACTTTTTTAATAAAACTCCTTTACTGAAAGCTTTTTTGGTATATTTACACATCTTAAACTCTAATTACGATAAAAAATCTATTGAGTATATTCAAAATTTATTTGTTCACTTTGAAATGAGGGTTTTCGTAATTATTATAAGCTTATATTTAATAGCTTATATTTAAACTGCAAGTTAGGGTTATTATTTGTAATTAACTTTATCGTATTTTAATTATTTAATAGCAAAATATATCGAAAACTGCAAAATTTTATTTTGCATATGCATTTTGAAAGTTTGGGAGAATATGCATATTTTCTATTTATGATATACGGATCTAATTTCTGGACATTATTTATTATCATAAAATAACTTCTAATTATTTGTAAAAAGTCCACTGGTCCTGGACAACGTGTTGATGTAGGTTTAAAATTTATATTTTATTATTTGTAATAATTATACATATGAACTAAAAGTAAGAAGGTTAACAAATAACCCGGATACTGACCTGTCGTAGCCAAGAAGACATGCCAGAGTTATATCGCGTGATAAGAGTCTTCATCCAGGATTGTTTCGTTCCTTTAGGATAGACTGAAACGTAATCAGTAGCTAATTATAAACTACTTTGTTGAAAATGCTGCACGCAACGTTGAATATTCAGACGTGGAACAATTTTAAAGAACAGGTCTGTATTGATCGAGTATTTCGTTTTTCCAAACGTTCAACATTTTCAATTATACTAATAAGGACATAAAAAAAAATTAAAAAAATTTCATGTAAGTTAAAAAATCATTAGGTGGTATTTTATGGATTCTTGTTTCGAAAATTTAAAAGGTTACTAATTAGAACATATATTATCACATACTTGCAAAAGGATTAAATATTTAAAAAAAAATCTATTTAGGATCCTGGGTCTGGTAATACAATTATTGTTATCATCAGCCATATGTCATTAAAGGTACATGAGCCACATTTGGTAACAGGAGTGGTGTCTATACCACAATTGTTACATACTTTCTATATTTATAAATTTAAGACGGTTTGTTTTGAATCAGGCAGTCAGTCTGCAATCCAACTAAAAATAATGATAGTAAAAAGAGTTTAAAAAGAAGCAGGAGAACAAACCTAAGAAAAAATACCATCCAGGTAAACGTTACCCCGTTTTAAAATTCTTTATTACAGGATACAATTCTTATAAATGCATAGAAAATTTGAAATTACCTTTACCATCATAACCTCATCCAATTCAATAACGAGGAATTGAGAAAAATAATATAACTGAATGTGGAACTTCAGCCACTTTCGCAGAATATAACATTGAAATTAAAACTGAATGTTAGATTGAATTTTTGTGTCAAATTCATTAAACGTTTTTTAGGAAAATTTTATTTAAAAAATTGTATTCAACACAGACAAAAAGCAAAAATTATCTGTTACTTTTATACGGGTGTGAATTAAATAGCAAGTAGCAGTATTCAATTCCAGAACGCATGGCTAATTTTCATGAAGAATATCCTGATTTAGTGTTTGACTACAATGGTTTTTAGAATGTTTTGACAAATTATGTGCAATTATTCAAGGAGACTGGGTCGAAAAACTGTATGGATTCAGCTGAAAATATTAAAGTTGTTCGTCATGTTATGAGTATCCTGTTAATCGATTCTACTCTACAAGTCTTACACAACTTCAACTGAGCCATTGAAACTTCCCAGCACATCTCAGCAAAATAGGACTGTGTAACAATTGAATCGGTGAGTGGGAAAAGGATAACATTCCTCACATACAAATGTGCAACCGATATGCTAGCGCGGCATTTATTTACGAGTCAATTTTCAGGTAAAAATCACTATGCGTTACCGTTTTAGATGATGGTGGGTGGGGTTTTCCGGGTTTTCCTAATCTGTAAGTCAAATGGCACCATCAATCATCTTTAAGTCGCCCCGTAGCGCCAAGCCGTCCCATTCCCCGGACAAGCTCAGCTTTTGGGGTTAAAATTCACTCGTAAGGGGGTGAATTAGGGAGGGTATTATTGTATTATTATTATTTCAAAATCTAATCTTTTGGGAAATTATAAAAAAACTGTTTTACAGCTTTATTTTTAGGGTAACAGAAAAACTTGTAGTGCTATATAAAAGTATTTTATTAATAAATTTTAAATTTTTTTATTAATTTATTTACCTGAGTTAAGGAAGTTTTAATATTTGGAATATTACTCTTTTCAAATCAAAATAAAAAAGTGTTATAAAAAATACCAATGTTTTTAACAAATTTTTATTTTTTATCAAAAAAGAACTTGTTTTTACACTAAAATTATAAAAAACAACTTTCTCTCAAACTTGGCATCGTACATCAATCTTCTTCGTCACCATTACCGTTACCTTCTGCAGTGGACTAGGTGAGTGTTTTTTAGAAGAATGGAAGAAAGTCTTCAGGTATGTATTGCAAATGTTTTTAATTTTTTATTGGGACTCTTTCTATATATGCCCTTGTACTAGGTAGATGCACGTCGTCAACCTTACTCAATTTAAATTTTCTGACACAAAAACTGTCTATGTATTTAACACACTGCCTGTACTTACCAATAGTAAAAGGTACTTTGATGGTTGATCCAGTAGGAGGCATAAAGGTTTTTTTAAAATAATGAGGCCACCAGTTTTTAAAGTCTAGCATATCTTTATGATTAATATCTCTTATTATGTATTTAGGATCATGTATACGTAGTACTTGTTTGATAGCACCAAAAGTTCTGTCACATACCATAAAATTATGACCCCTAACAGGATAGTATAGGTTAACCTCTTTGAAACGACCCCTCATTGTTAGAGTAAGCAACAATCTCGTAAGAGTATGGTTGCAGTTTGCTCACCGCACGCATCACAAAAAACATAAAGAATTTCTACTTCTTTTGGAACAGACTATTCAATCAAATCTAGTACAAAAGTACAAACCTCGGTAGGGCCTTTCTTGCATTTTCCTTCCGGGTAGCTATAAAATATAGACATTCCAGTTTTAAAGTATTGAATATTGAACACATAATACCATAGTTTTCTCAGGTAAAACATCTCCTGCACAGGTATAAAGGGCAGAGGCAAATTTGGCATATAGTCGAATACTATTCCACTAACTTTTGGGTCAGTTTTGCTCAACTCTTGCACGCTCTTTAACATGTTATAAAAGTTCGTTGCCCTTCGTTAATGCACCATGAGTATAGCAGTAGCGACACATTTTGCGCCATCATTTAAAAAAGTTGATTTGGTCTTGGTATTTAACTCTTCACAGGTAGAACAAACATCTACCAGTAGTCAGCCAAATTTGTAGTTAAAATTTTCTTTGAAATATTTAAGTTAGTATTCATATTTCATCACCGTTTTGTATTGAGGGAATATTTCCAAAAATAGGTTATGCATTTTCTTCGTTGTCAACCCTGCTTCATGGTAAGTTATAGGATTAGAACAATAATGAGAAATGTGCGTTGGAAATGATTTGATGTGATTATGTATTTCATCAGTAACAGAGGCTGGTATTGCACGTGCTCTATTAAAATGCTGACCATAACCACCCCTTGGTGATTTATTTTCATTCAGCAGATGTGTCAGTCGAGCCAATGTTTGATTAGATATAGCATGCAAGCTAAAGAATGCATTACGGCATACTATAATACGAATATTGCCTTGCATAGCGAAATATGTAAAAGAATAAGGGATTTGTTTGGGTAGGACAATGCCTAGAAAGGTCATGTCTTTCTATCAGACTCATGAAGTAGGTATCTTTTTTCATTTTTTGGTTGCCCATTGTATAAAGACGTGATAATTGCCTGTTTATTTTTATTTGAGAAATTGTCCATGCATTTATTACGGCACGGACAGTTTGGCTACGTTGTTTTAGCCTCAACTAAGAGTCCTGTAATCGTGACGAATTCTTCCCCCTTATCCTGGCCAATTTCTCTTTTTCTTTGCTATATTCTGGCTTATTGACTTTACCTTCCTTCCTTCTAGGTTCATCAACCTCTTGTTCCTCTAAATCTGACATCTTATTCAAAAAGCTTATTCACATAAAAGGAAAAATAACTTGCAAATACTCTCAAAATAACTGTTCAAAAACAATCTATAGTTTAACATAACCTAAAATAATCATAAAGTGATTTTAAACAGAGTAACTAGCGCTGCATGCGTGAGATAAAGAAACAACTTGCTCTCTGTGAATCACATTAAGTGGAAAGCAGATAACATTCCTGGAATATGTTTCTTTTTCACTTAACCGTACTTTTAACATATCGGTTGCACGTTTGTATATAAGAAATATTATTATTATTTCGGTAAATCAATGCGCCGACATAAATTAAACATATTTAGTTTAATTTTCCATTATATGGAATATTACCCTTTTTCAACTCACCGATTCAATTCATTATGTGACTTTAATAATATCTTTCCTTCCCAATAAATGAAGGCCTCGGGCGTAAAATATGTTAAGTGACAAAGTGGAGAATTTTTGTTTATAGCTTGTAAAATATGTTAAGTACACATCTATTTTATGGAACAATTCAAATTTCCCGCCAAGCGGCTCATTTGTGTTATACCGCCATCTAGTAAAACGTGTTAAGTGGAATTTATCATGACAGTTGCAAGCAAAACTTGGTAAGTGTCAAACAACATGGTGGCAGTACTTAACATGTGTGCATAATATTTTTAAAAATAGTGAAAAGATGGATGCCAAAATGAACGAAAATAGTGATCTAAGTGAATTTGATGACAGTGACGCTGACCCTGATTATCAAAATTCAAGCTCATCATCGGAAAAACAAGAAAATTTAGAGGTTAGTAAAATTAATTTTTACAACATTTTTCAAGTAAAATATGCTAAGTGAAGTAGATAACATTATTTACCTGCATTTTGAATTCGTTAGTTTGTATACTTTACATTAACAACAAAACTATAAATTTTTGTTCATTGTAGAGTTAATTAATATATTTATTCAGCAAGTTTTGTTATTATCAGAATAATAAGCAGAAAAAGGAAGGCAAAAAACGTACCAGACATGGATCAAGACAAAAAATTAACAAGATATTGAAAGACAGTGGAAAATGATACAAAACTTACAGAGGCCGTGGACGTGATGTTGAAGAGAAAAAAATTGGAGATCCTTGCAAATGCAAAAAAAAAGTTTTGAAAACGTAAGTCAAGATGAAAAGGAAGTTATATTTTCAAAATTTTGGGGTTTAAAAGAATACGACATACAAAACGCGTATTTAATGGGATGCATGAGTACACAAAACATGAAAAGAAAAACTAAAAAGCGTGATACCCACCGAGCACAAACTATTTGCTACGTTGTTGAAAAAAAAAAAAACAGTTTGCAAAGATGCCTTTATTAGTTTGCATGGAATAGGTAGAGGACGTATTGAATGTTTAGTAAAAAAGCTAAAAAACAATCAAGTTATGATGTTACCAGAAAGAGATGGACGCGGACGACATACTCAACATAAAAAAAAATACAGTGAAGATGATCTTACACGAGTCCGTGATTTCATAGGTAGCCTGCCCAAGTATGAAAGACATTATTCCCGGTCAGTAAATCCTGATAGAGTTTATATGGGCATGGAATATACGAGGATGTATCAGAAAATAACGAGACTGGTGCTATAGTATAACAACGGAACATTTATTTAAAAAAATTCAACAACTATCCTTCGAAGTACTCTCCATTCTGTTGAATACACTTATTCCATCGGTTTATCCACTTATCATAAACTTCTGAGAAACCATTTTTTGATAGTCTGTTTAGTATACCCATCACAGCGTTGTTGAGCTCTAAATCCGACTCAAATCTTCTACCTCTCAATTCTTTTTTGACTTCAGGAAACAAATGGAAGTCACATGAAGCAAGGTCAGGAGAGTAGGGGGGATAAACCATAATTTCAACCCCTAATTCTTCAATTGTTCGTTAACAAATCATTGATCTATGAGCCGGAGCATTGTCGTGATGCAGCGTCCAGCCAAAGTCCTGATAAAGCGGCCTTTTTTTCTTTAATTTTGCTTTTAAGGGTCCTCGAAGTACATTAGAATAGTACTCCCCTGTTACTGTATGTCCTCTAGGTACAATGTGATCGTAAATAACGCCAAATTTATCAAAAATAAATCAGGTGCATCACTTTACCAGCGCTTTTAGCAGTTTTGGCCTTCTGCGGTCTTGGGCTGCCTTTATGCTTCCATTGCATACTTTGAGACTTCAATTCAGGATCGTAATGATAAAACCAACTGTCGTCACATGTAACCACATTATTTAAAAACTGTGGGTAACGTTGCAATTGCCTTTTCCACTGCTGACAAATTGTCACTCAATTCGCTTTTTGTTCATCGGTCATCACTTTTGGAATCTATCTTGCCGCGATCTTCTGGTACTCTAAATATTCATAAATAATTTTTTGAGTGGTACCGTAAGACAAATTAACATTTTCAGAAATTCGTTTTATGCCAATCCGGCGATCATTTTGTATCAAGTCGTTAATTTCTGCAATTTTTGTGTCATTTCTCGCAGTTTGTGGTCGACCGGGACGAGGTTCATCTTCAACTGATTCACAACCGTCTTTAAACTTTTTATGCCACTCAAACACTCTACATCGTGATAAACTATTATCTAGATATGCACCTTTAATCATTTCAAAAGTTTCAGTTGGTGTTTTACCCAATCGAACACAAAATTTTATCGCGTATCTTTGCTCCACTTTAATTTTTCGATGGGTACGCAGAACACTGACAATTCAATAATTATTTTTGAAACAAATGTCAAAAGTTAAATCAAAGCCTACTTGCGGGGTAGTACATTAAATATAAGGCTTTCATGTCTCATTTTTAGGGTTATAAAATGTTACCTCTGAAAGAAGTTATAGCACCAGTCTCGTTATATACTGATATATCCTCGTAATAATTCGAACTTGTTCGAAGAGTACAAAAATATTTGCATAAGTAAACACACCATCCCGGTTTCTTTTGACAAGTTTCGAAGGATTATAACAGCAGTACAATATATCCTTTAAGACACCAAAAAGTGACACTTGTGCTGAATGTGATTCAAACAAAGTTGATATACAACAGGCTAAATTGAACAACAATAATGAGGAAGTCCAAGAACTAACAGTAAAATATGAGCTACACCTAAGAAAAGCCCAAGCAGCTCGTGACTTATTACAAGAAGTTATCAAACAATCAACTTCTGACCCAAATATACAGGTGATAACCTTTGACTTACAGCAAGCGCTTCCAACTCCTGAATTAACTACAGGTACATGTTTTTATAAAAAGAAAAAAAGAAGTTATGGTGCTATATTTTCAGTGTACACAGATGTGGTGGCGAAGATGACAATGGGCACTTCTTTTATTGGGATGAAGTGACTGCCAAACGTGGATCTGTCGCGATTGCAAGCTGCTTAAAAAAATATTTTTTAGCTAATAATGTATCTGGTGATACCCTTTATGCCTTTTCCGATAACTGCTGTGGACAGACCAAAAACTATACCATTGTAGGTTTTTGGCTACATCTATTAGCAATGAAAAATTTTAAGAAAATTGTCCACATCTTTCTTCAATCGGATCATTCTATGATGCCAAGTGATAGAGATTTTGGTTTAACTGAAAAATTGGCGCGGCGTCAACATGCAGTATATGATCCAGAAGGATGGGGAAAAATTCTCCGAGATTGTAAAAAGAAAAAACCATTTTCAGTATATAGAATGCAAACTGAAGATTTTCTAGACTACACTGAATATCGACGATATTTTAACCAGAACATAAAATCACGAAATGGAGAGAACTTTTGCATAACTTCTTCTGTAAAATTAGAATTTAATGTGTCTGATCCCTATATCCTAAAAGCGTTTAAAAATTGCCATGCACTTCCCGAAGAGATTTCGTTAAAGAAAAGGGGCCGAGCAATGTCCATTCAGGACTTTGTCCTAAATCAGAAATATCAGGAAAAATTAGCGGTGGAAGAAACCAAACTGCAGCACGTTTTATCATGTCTTCAATGGGTTCCACCTGTTCATCACGCCTATTACTATAGCATCAATACTGCAGCAAATAATTAATAATTGTTTCTAATTTTATTGTATTTCATATAAAAAACTTTGAGTTCACATTATTTTTCGTACCACCTCAAATTCTGTTAAATACTATTTGTCTTACATAAAGTTGATGTAAAATATGTTATGTAACAATTTTTTGATTTCTTTTTTAATTTGTATGAGTTAAAAAAATTTATTTTGGTAATAAAGGCATATAACCAAACTAGACAAGTTATTTGAGTCGGTCAGTGCAATAAAAGGCTTGAATACTATAACCCCGATTTTATAATTATAAAACAATTAAAAACGCTTGTAACCAAAAAACAATACAATGCCACTTAACAACTTTTACACCCGAGCCCTTCAAATATTGTATACTTACCAAGCCACAATTCCAGAAATATAAACGATGCCCTTATTATTGACTATCTGTGGCAAATGAAGGGTACATGGCAAAAACCAACGGTGTCCGAAAATGAAAAAAATGAGATAATCATTTCAATACATTCTTTCCGAGGTGTATTTTATTATGGGAAATCATCAAGGGGAACAACAAACGAAGTCATAAGGTTATAAATATATACTGCAGAGGAAAAACCAACATAGTCCACCTGAAACATAGGAATAACCAACACAGTCCATCATCGAAAAGCCAAAATTCTGCATTATCTAGTCGGCTACGCTTCAGCCTTCAGCTGTGTTTACTTAGCTGTTGCTTCGACAAGTAAGAATGATTGAAATGTCGGATAGTGACGAAAATATAAGTGTTAATTCAGAAAAGTCAACGAAAAAGCGTAAAAGATATGGTTGCCTTAGAGATGTTGCTAAGAAGCTAATGGCCTCGATATTTGAACCGGAAAAAGCTGCAAATTCAAGCGGTATAGGTGCTTTAAGAATATTTCTGTCACGTAAAAAAGTGAGTTAATAAGACAATTTAATAATATTGGACGTGAGAATAGTCATGTTGCCCAAAATAGATACTTATCTAGCCTTATCTCATTACGACCTGTTTTTCGACGAAGGCCAAGACAAAATGAAGAAGATGCTAGATTGAATGAAAGCTCACACAGCTACAAAGTAAGAGTTATTAGGACTGACAGAGCAGAAGAGGTGCCAGTATGTTTTAAAGCATTTCAGTCACTTTTTGGAATTAAAGCCTTTTGATTACATACAATAAGAACATCTTTAAGAACAACTGGCGAGCCGCCGACAGATGGAAGGGGAAAGCATACCAATATACCTCATAAGATATATCAATAAACCCGTGAGTTGTTATTGCAATTTTTGGGCTCCTTAAAGGGACGTAGATAAGATTAGATTTAATTAGGACTATGGGCCATGTGGCCTTCCCCACCTCGACCTTTTCAGATCTATTGTGGATATCCTTTGATCATTGTTTAGAGTACCTTGTCTAATGCGGTCTTTTGTAGTAGACTCCATAGACTGGGAAGTAGTTCTCCGGTATAGCTAGTTGTCCTTGGTTCTGCCGTTTTCTCTTCTTCTTGACAGAATTGGCACAAGGCCTCTTCTGTCAGACCGATATTGAACATATGTAAAGGGACGTAAAGCGTACTACAGCTTGAAGAACTCTAACAGAGTATCCCTCCTGGAACATATAAATTTTAAAAAGCTTCTTGCATTATTTTTGGCTAAACAGCTCCATATTGAGATGTCTTATAAAACATTCAGGCAAATATGTGTGTCAGAGTTTAACATCGCATTGGGTTATCCACGAACCGAAATGTACTATTGGTGTGATAAGCAGAAAGCTAAAAAGGTAAAGTTAGACGAGGAATGTAGGAAGCTAGAAACTGAGAAGACACTTAATTTAAAGAGAGCAGATTGGTTCTATGAACTGAAAAGTCGTGGAAAAACTAAAGCTAAAAAATCGTCAACTATAGAAGCTATCGCTATAGATTTTGAAAAAAACCTCCCTACTGCGAAGATAACTTCTGCTAAAGTGTACTTTAGAAGATAGCTGTCATTCTATATTTTCAATGTGCATATTTAGTCAACTGGTGCTTCACGAGCAAACCATCGCAAAGAAAGAATCAGATGATGTTGCTTCAATGCTTTATCATTTTTTCAACACCTACCTGGATCCTGCTATTAAGAAACTTTATGTCTTTGCCGATTCGTGCGGGAGACAAAACAAAAACAACACTATCATCCAGTTTCTTCATCCTCCACTACGTAACTGCTGATCTAAAAAGATTTGACACTGTGACAATTACTTACCCAGTGTGCGATCATTCCTTCATGGAAACCAACAGAAACATGGTGTTGATCCCCAAAAGTGCTAAGGCTGAAACTCCAGATGGCTGGAGAGAGGTTATAGAAGCCGCCCGAATGAAGCCGTATCCGTTTGTTGTTGTATCATGTGAACAAGTTATGTTTAAAGGATAGGGTAATTTTTTGTCCTCCAAGTTATACAAGAAAAAATTCTCTTTTCCTATTAGGCAACTAAAACAGTTCATGATCATTCAAACAAAAAGCAAAACCGTTGACCATAGGGAAACATATAACGGAAGTTACATGTCATCATTGATAAAAGATTAACGGTAGAATCAGAAGAGAAAATCAAACCTACCAGATCTTCAAGAACCCAACCAGCTCTACCATAGCCCTATACCTCTGCCCAAAGAAAAGTGTGCTGATCTAAAAGTTCTAATGAAATTCTGTGAAGAAGAGGGATCTAAAGAGCACTACAGCCAACTTCTCTCTGCTAACCGGCCTGTACTAGAACCAGAATCAGATGATGATCAAAGTGATTTTTAGAAATCAGATTATTTCAGTCTTATTTATGGATTATTTTGTTCTTTATATTGTTCTTTATGTTTTTTATCATGTAGAAATGCCTGTAATAGCGAAATAAAGAATTTAAAAATATAGTTTTTTTCTGTCCAGAGGAAAAACCAACTTAGTCAAAATTTTGTTTAAATAAAAAATAACTAACTACAAAATAAAAATACAATCATAACATTACTTTAGCTTTAAAAAAAATACATATCGAACTGAATATAAAAAAATATTTGTCTAGAAAAGCTTTAAAAGCGTCGGATTTTTCTCCTGAAAATTATCATTTTTGGACTCTGTTGGTTTTTTCTCTGTACCCTTCAAATAGTTCATTCAATCTAATCCTAACACAACAGTATTTCATTACTTAATATTGTGTGTCTTTATTTAGTTCTTCCTATAAAATATACTTCAATAAATAGCTTGCATTAAATTTAATGATTTCAGATTTAATGCGTTTCTAAATATCTCTGATTTTCTAATTCCGACTCTGGTAACGGGATATCGTCGATATGGGGTGAACGGGGGAAATAGAAGATTTATTATTGGAACATCAATATGAACATGAATATTTCATAAGATTATTTCTGATTGTCATAATTATTGTTGTTCGATACGGACATATATTAATTATTTTGTAATCTATCAATGTTTTTGGATCGAAGAATTTTAATCAAATTGAGTAGGATTATAGAATTACTGAAATATTAGTTTACTTTACTCAAAATATCATAAACATGTTAAATAGATTCAATTAAAATCAACATTGAATGTTTTTTTTAATATAATAAAAATTGTAATATAAAAATTATTTAATTTTTTTAAATTGAATTAAAAAAAATAAATAGAAAAATAGTTCTACGATACAAAACTCTTTAAAATATTAAAAAGTAGAATTTTATAAAATATGTTTTTGGTTACATTTGAATTAAAACTAGTTTTATGCCAATGTTAAATTCCATAGAAATTTGTTTTATATAATGAAGTTGATCAAAGTACTGACGAAATATCAGAAAAATATCGGTTCTAGTATAGAACCTTGAGGTACAACGAATATAGACTTGAGGGGGTAACATTGAATATTAGCTAGTTTAGGTTTATAAATTTCATCTGTAGAGTTCGGAAGTGGAAAATTAACCAGAAAAAGAATGTTCTTAACAAAGAGTTTTTTTCAGAATTTGTTACAATCTGGTAGTTTACCAAGAACCAAAAATGAACCCGTTATTTACACATTATCTACAAACTACAAGGGTTCCTATTTGCAAAATTATTACCCCTCAAGACCAAGTACTACTTGTTTATAACGAGAAGGTGTAACATTTTAATAGTCTAATTAAAAAATGTTATTTTAAATATGTGCCATCCTGTATAATTCAATTATCGCCACACACAATATTCCAAAGAAAGGGAAATTTCTTGAAGTGGGAGTACAGCTAACCAAACGATCTCGCATTAGATTTTTAAATTTTATTTTATTACTACCTTCTCTTTATATTTAGTGGTGTTTTGGCTGTAAAAGTAAAAACGAATGAATGCAGCTGTAACCCACATGCTGTAACCAACACGCTGTAACCCACACTCTATAACCTACACGCTGTAACCTAAACGCTGTAAAATTGATCGAGCTGATTTAATTGGTAAAAGCGACAGTTACAACTCACAGTTAAAAGGAAGAACGAGAACAAAGACAAAAAAGGCATGCTGTTCATGTTCGAGTAACCGACAAAGGCTTGGGTTCCAGATGTGCAGAAATTTCAACTACCTCCAAAAGAAGTTGCCAGCAAAAAGGCAAAAGTGGTAATTACTAGTGACTAAATTTATCTATAATGGAATCATCACCATCACCATCCTGGCTCCTCTCACTAATCTTCGGTCTTCCCCAGCATTTGTTGATCTTGGTCTACCTTCCCTATGCCTGTCCATGATAGATTGAGTCTCATAGAATCGGTTATTGAGTCGAGAAATTACACTATGAGAGACATTATACCGATCAGCCACATCGATCTGTCGCGCACCTCCAAAAATCAACTCAATAGCTTGATTTGCTTTCTCTACCGTTAAATGACGTCTATTCATTGTTTTGATAGTAGAATAACCACAATATCGCAAACTACGCTTAGCAGCACACAAACAAAACTAAACTTTACAAAAATAAAATCTACATTTTTTGTGATAATACTTTTTATCTATTTGGGCACAATTTTATTTGTTTACAAACAACATATTTTAAATTCAAATGACATAGGTATTAATAGCTATATCACATTTTTTTTCGTGAATACACAATATCCTTAAAATTTTTCGATCAGTTTATATACTTATTCTGTTAGATGTTAGCGTAAACTTAATTTGTTTTTCGAAATTACAAAAACCTCATGGACCAAAGTTGTACCAATATTTTTCAACTAATTTGCAACTTTAGGCAAATGGTATAAAAAAATTTGTAACCTTACATTTTTGTTCTAATAGCTAAAACAAAATTGGTGGGGCCAAATTCACGCAGCCCCACCACATCGTCGTATTAACCTCGAACCTTTTTCATAATTTAGCAACTAATTTGCAACTTAAGGCAATATCTTCGTGAAAAAATGTGCAACCTCGTGGTTACGCCGGAAACGACTCCCTAAGTTGTTTGGGCCAAATTCACGCGGCCCCACCACATCGTCGTATTGACCTCGAACCTTTTTGATAATTTAGCAACTAATTTGCAACTTTAGGCAATCTTCGTGAAAAAATTTGAAGCTTCGTGGTTACATCGAAAACAATTCCCTAAGTTGATTTTGTCAAATTAACGCGGCCCCAACACATCGTCGTATAGACCTCGAACCTTTTCCATAATTTGCAACTTTAGGCAACCTTCGTGAAAATATTTGAAACCACGTGGTTGGAAGGTGGGCCAAATTCACGCGGCCCAACCACATCGTCGTATAGACCTCGAATTTTTTGGGGCCAACATGTTTGCATCTGACACGCCAATCATAATTAAACAAAACAAAACATTTTAAGGAGAGCATTTCTGTAAAATTTAAAACAATTTTAATTAAACAAGACGTTGGGACTTAACAAATTGAATTCCATAATTGCAAATTAGTTGCTAAATTATAAAAAAAAATCGAGGTCACTACAACGATGTGGTGAAGCCGCGTGAATTTGGCCCCACCAACTTAGGAATTCATTTCTGGCGTAACCACGAGGTTGCAAATTTTTTCACGAAGGTTGCCTAAAGTTGCAAATTAGTTGCTAAATTATGAAAAAGGTTCGAGGTCAATATGAAGATGTGGTGGGGTTGCGTGAATTTGTCACCATCAACTTAGGGATTCGTTTTCGGTTTAACCACGAGGTTGCAAATTTTTTCACGAAGGTTGCCTAAAGTTTCAAATTAGTTGCTAAATTATGAGAAAGGTTCGAGGTCAATATGACGATGTTGTGGTGTTGCGTGAATTTGTCACCATCAACTTAGGGATTCGTTTTCGGTGTAACCACGAGGTTGCAAATTTATTCACGAAGGTTGCCTAAAGTTGCAAATTAGTTGCTAAATTATAAAAAAAAATCAAGGTCCCTACAACGATGTGGTGAAGCCGTGTGAATTTGGCCCCACCAACTTAGGAATTCGTTTCTGGCATAACCACAAGGTTGCAAATTTTTTCACGAAGGTTGCCTAAAGTTTCGAATTAGTTGCTAAATTATGAGAAAGGTTCGAGGTCAATATGACGATGTGGTAGGGTTGCGTGAATTTGACACCATCAACTTAGGGACTCGTTTTCGGTGTAACCACGAGGTTGCAAATTTTTTCACGAAGTTTGCCTAAAGTTGCAAATTAGTTGCTAAATTATGAAAAAGGTTCGAGATCAATACGACGATATGGTGGGGCTGCGTGAATTTGGCCCCACCAATTTTGTTTTAGCGATTAGAACAAAAATGTAAGATTGCAAATTTTTTTATACCGGTTGCCTAAAGTTGCAAATTAGTTGCAAAATATTGGTACAACTTTGGTGTAATTATCATAACATGGTAGGGCCAACTTCACGCATGTACCTCATGGACCAAATTTTAACCAAGATGAAAGAAGAAAACAAGATGTGAGTGAGAAAGACATATTTCCTGACCTAGAAGTTTATGAGGATGCCAAAATATTTGACCATAGTAGGCCTTTTAGCCAATTATAGGCATACTTAGTTGTAAAATGTCTCTAGAATAAAAGAAAAAGAAGAACAGAGTTCAAAGATTACTAAAGTAGTTCTAAACAATTGTAAACACTGAACTAGGTTATTTTAAACCATAAACAATTAAAATACAAATTTATCCTTTTTGATTTTTCCTGAAGTAAGTAACTAACTTTTAAGTAATTAAATAATACACAATTAATTGTGTTTAACATTACTACTCAATGGTAAATGTATTAATTTATTACTCGTTGATTTAAACCTGTAACAACTCTCCCAGTTGTATAGAGATTAAGTCATAGAATTAGCATGATTTTAAAAGAGATGCCAACAGAGAAATATTTGCTGATGCTTTCACTTCCACCAATTAACATAATTTACTGTATTTTATTCATGTTTTTTTGACGAAAAAGGTTCTTTATTTCCATGAATTTATGTCTTTTAAAGAAATTTTGAATTATTGCACGTTACCGGAAACGGGTAATATGGAAAGTTGAATTCTTTTGAAATAGATTTTATATCGGTTGTCGGCACGCAAATACATTACGATTCAATTCCGAAACTCTAAACTCTATTTTATCTTGTTTCGGATCTTTCAACCAGTCACAAAAGTTTTTTACTTAGTGTCTATGAATAGTTTTCGTTTTATCCATTAATCTTCCAATATATAGGGATTTTTGAAACATGAAAGTTGGTTTTGATATATTTCAAATTACTCAATATTTAATTTGTAGAAATAAATAATACCCAATAAAAAAATTACACATTTGCGTCATTGGTTGCCTATATCAATTATCAGAACTGGACCGTTTCGCCCAG